CTGCGGGGGGGGCGGCCCGGGCTGCCAGTGGCTTCTGGGCTGTGAGCGCATGTTTTCGGGTCGTGTTGAGCTTCTTGTCTGTAGCTGTTAACCACTACAGAGACACGGCTCCAGTGTCTGCTGCTGCCCTGTCCAGATCATACCATTCACTACTGCTTCTTGAGTGGTCTGATGACTTGAGAGCAACTCTGATAATTTGCATTTCTGCCATACATCTGTTTTTATGCAGTAGTTGTGAGTATCCTGTGGCTTCATGTTTTTTTTTCCTCTTCTTCCTTTATAGATTGACTTGATGCCTCATGACCTCATTACACAGCTCTTGAGAGTATTGGCCATAGAAACAAAACAGGAGAAGGCCATAATCAGTGCAGATCCCACAGAGCTCACCCTCAGTGGTCTGGAGGCATTTTCCTTTGACTACATTGTTAAGTGGCCTCTGTCACTTATTATAAACAGGTAAAGTGTCAATGCACTGAAGATAAAAAAAAAAAAAAGCAGAAGCTTTTGTATGGTCTTGAAGTGTGTTTCCACACAGCAAAATACTGGAAAGCCTGTATTGTTAAAGTGATAAGTTGCTGACTAGTAGGGAGTGCCTTGGGGTTGTTGAGCCCTTCCTGCTTGCCCCAGTTGTAGGCTATGGAATATGGATTGTCTCCTCAGTAGAGCCCTACTATACAGTGCCAAAGGCATGCTTGGAAAGTCAAGCTTTCATTTTAAGTGGTGGGAAGACATAGATCAGAAGATGCTTTCTCAGCTTGACTCCCAGTTTTACTTGTGACTGGTCACCCAGTTTCTGTTTGTCCATGACTTTCTGAAGTACCTCCCCCAGGAGCAGGAACTCTCACAAGAGGGTTTCCATGCGAGAATCAAGCATTTCAGAAGTGTGAAGAGCAGAAGGAAATGCACTTTCTCGTATCCCTGGTTGCAGACAGAAGGATACAGGCTGTTGCTAGAGTGGCTAGAGCAGGCTATTTTACATTGAGTCGAGGTATGAGGAACTGAGCGGGTCACTTTTTGGAAAGGATTTGGAGAAACTCTTGCAGACTTGCTACCGTGAGCCAGAGCAAATGGGACGAGCAGCGTTACATGAACAGCGTGACAGATGTTGAATTGTTAAATGCCAACAATTGGTTTGACCCTTAATTTCCCCTTTAAAAAATCAGTTGACACAGTAGGACTTTTCTAATGACGTGATGCTTTTGAACTTATGTCTCTTTATTCAGCACAGAGTGTCTTAGCTCTGATGGTAGCCGTGGAAGTGAAAAGACTGTTTGGTAAGGTTTCACAAACTGTATCGACTGGAGCTCTGTAGACACCTACACTGAAGTGTCTGAACGCAGACCTGAATCCAGTCCCTGAAGCTATAAATAAACATCCCCATCTGCTGCTGGCGGGGTGATGCTGCCTGTAGCTTGGTTACTGCTTTTTCTTCATCTTTCTGAAGAATCCTGGTGAATTGTTTCAGTGATTGTAGCAGTCTGGGGGCAGTGGGTACATGAGTGCAGGCTTTCAGCCCTCTGTCCCAGCTTGTATGTGAGTGACCTTTCTGCAGTGACCTTTCTCAAGAGAATTGAAGGAGGAGGCTGGTGACGTACCCGCTGGCAGAAAATATGGGGGAGGGACTCCTTGGAGAGAAATTCTTTGGGATGGCTACAAATGTGGGTTGGTGGGGTTTTTTTTTTGGTTCAGATTGTTTCAGTGCGGATCTGTGCGCGTCTGAAGGCGTAAGGAACATATTGTGTAAAGTCTCTTTGCCTTCGAGCAGCATCAGCCTTCACAGCTTAGTCTGTCAATCAGAACAGGGCTTAATCTGGATGGCTTTCTTCTTTCTTTCCAGGAAAGCACTGACAAGATACCAGATGCTTTTCAGACACATGTTCTATTGCAAACATGTGGAAAGACAGTTGTGCAACGTCTGGATCAGCAATAAGACGGCCAAGCAATTCTCCCTGCATTCAGCTAAGTGGTATGGCCTTTTATTGGCTGGATCAGAGAAGTTTTGGGTCTCCTTCTTGCTAGTTAAATTGTCATGGCATGGATCAGATCATTTTGATGTGAAAAAGATCCTTATAAATTTTAGAGGCTGAGAGAGGTTGAAATATAACAATCTGGGTTTCAGTAGGAAGGGTTTGCTCAGTAACCTTTGTGCTACTCAGCTCGTTCCTCTTTGTTGGCAGGAAGTTTTGAAAAGGGACAGGTGGTCTTTCAGGTTAGCTCATTATACGCTGAACAATTACAGCAAAGCACATGGAGGACAGGGAGATGATTCAAGAGAGTCACCATGGCTTTACCAGGGGCAAGTCCTGCCTGACCAACCTAGTGGCTTTCTGCAATGAAGCAACTGCACTGGTGGACAAGGGAAGAGCTGTGGACATCATCTATCTTGACTTTGCTAAAGCCTTTGACACCATCCCCCATAGCATCCTCCTTTCTAAGCTGGAGAGATATGGGTTCAATGGGTGGACTGTTCAGTGGATAAGAAACTGGCTGGATGGTCACACCCAGAGAGTAGTGGTCAATGGCTCAACGTCTAGCTGGGCAAAAGTGACCAGTGGTGTCCCTCAAGGGTCTGTACTAGGCCCAGTGTTGTTTAACATCTTCATCAGTGACACAGACAGTGGCATCGAGTGCACCCTCAGCAAGTGTGCTGACAACACTAAGCTGGGGGGTGCAGTTGACATGCCAGAGGGACAGGAGGCCATCCAGAGGGACCTGCACAGGCTGGAGAGGTGGGCTCAGGTGAACCTCATGAGGTTCAACAAGACCAGGTGCAGGACCCTGGGAGGGGCAACCAGCATTACCAATAC